AGTGAATTGATGGTTATGAGCTCCGATCTATTTGAACCGCCTCCAAATCGTTGCTAGACCGCCGTAAACACCTGCAAGAACTCAACGACGGAAGTGTTTCCGGCGTAGAGCCTCCGATGCTCAAGTCAGTATGTGAATGAGATGAAATAGAGAGGGTTGCTCTGAGAGAGCAGCAGCAGGAAGAAGGAGAAGTGTATGAAATGAATGAAAGTTAGGGTTTAGGGTTACCTTAGCTCCTTTATATAGAATGGAATACTCACTTGAAGTACCTAAAAAGCCCCAGTCGGTTTACCTGAAATGTCCAAATTACCCCGGTCGATTCGTCTCCCCCCACTGTTTAGTCATCACAAGATTCATTCTTATCCATTAGAGAATATGAGACTTCAAGAGATATTGTAAGTGATATGGGATATTATACACCTAAGGAGTAAACCGGTCCATTATGCTGGTCGTACGAGCCTAATATCGGAAAAAACCACGTTGATCGAGCAATAATAGGTGGTCGAGCATGGTGGCAGATTTGGTCGATGATCGACTTTGAGAATGGGAGCTCAGTCAGATCGAGCACCCAGCGAGTGAAGAGCAATCGCGGGGCATGGGGTGAACGCGAGAAAGCGCGTGAATCTCGTCAGAAAATCCCAAAGGAATATTCAAGGGAATAATTACTCCATTCAAGAGGGCACGTGGCGAGAAGAGATTGGTGCAGAGCGATGGTGGCGATAACAACCTCTGACACACACACATTGCGTGTGTACGGACGGGCAGATCTGGGCAGACAGCTCATCAAATCCGGACAGCTCCTAGGGCAGGTATCTCGCTCCTATATATATGGGAGTGAGTCTTTCTTGTTACTTACGATTTATCCATTTCTTACTTTGGAGAATTGATTGAAACACATACTTACTTAAGAATTGGAGGCTTTTCACCGGAAAAACCCCCCGGTGTGAGAGTTCTTTGCGGGTACGCGGCGTTCTACCGGCGAGGAGGAGGAAGACGAGCCGATTTCAAGCCGGTCGGAGTGTTTTGCATTACTAGTAAGTTTACTGAGTCGTCAGTACGCTACGCTTGTTCGTCTTCTTGGTGGAAGCCGACTTTGAGGCCGTCGACTTTGGTAAAACCGGCATCCTCCTTTGGTTACTACATGAGGAGTCGACTGTCGAGATGTCGACTTAGGGATGTCGACTTCAGTGTTATCCAGTCGACATGAAGACGGTTCGACTCGTCATCCTGGTCGAGCGATTAGTACTTGGACCGGTATATCATAATATGGCTATATCACAGAGGCGATCGTATTTATTCAAATATGTGATGGCGGTCTCGTTTCCATCAATTATTATATAATAGAATACTTAAAGGAATATGATTACACTTAAATTAATATAAAATATAACAATTAGCTTTTATAGTTCATTGAATATTGATTGTTAGTTGTAGTTTAACATTACATTTTAGGATTGATTAATGTAAAAAAATATATTAATATGTAAAAGTAAAGGAAAAGAGCATAAAAATTACATATATTGCAATCAATATTTTGCCTACAAATTTATATTTATATATATATATATATTAACTAACTACGCAAATTTAATAAAAGTTTGGCGTGATAATCACTTTTCTTAGATCATCTCTAGTCCTTTTTTCTACTCTAGTGTAGAGTTTACTCTACTCTAGAGTAGATTAAACAAAAATCAAATTCGGTCTCCAACCGTACGCGCTACATTCTACTCCACATATATATTCATATTATTTTAATTTATTTAACATGTCAAAATATTATTTAGCGGGACATATTATTTTATAAAATAAAATATATCATGATGTTAGATGGTCTGCTACTAGTTTAAAATATTGTTCCACAAAGAATTATTACTTGATTTATTTTATAGTAATTCAATATAAATATATATTTATAAAAATAATAGTTCATATAATTTTAAAATTAAACTATAAATTTAATGGTACCAATTTTGTTAAATAATAAATTTTAAGATAAATCAATTACGTGTAATAATATAAAAATAAAATTATAGATTAATGAATAGTACTGCGTCAGATGTAGCTAGGGGTGGGCACGGTCCGGGATTTGACCTATCCCGGTACCTGTCCCGGTTTTTTGAACCGGTCCAGGACGACACCTCGTCCCAAACGGATCGATATAAATCGGGACCGGGACAAAACGGTTCGGGACCGGGACAAAACGGGAAAAAAAATGTTCAAAAATAAACTTCAATCAATTCCTTATTTCACCTCAAAAAAAATAAATAAATAAAATAAACTTTGATTCCATTCAAAGTTGTAATCAAGACAAGCATTGAGAAGCATTGAGCATTCATTGGCCGTAAATATAAATGTGTATGTTAATTGGTAATGTTAATTACTTTATTGTTTAATGTTTTAATTTTTTGGGCCAATTGTCTTAACAGACAGAAGTAAATTGGCCATTGGGTTTTTCTTTCATTAATAAAAAAAAAAAATCTGTTAAGATTTTTGTACAAAAAAAAAGCTTGTTAAGATTTCATAAATAAATATAAATTAATGTACTATATAATATTTTTGTGCAAAAAAAATAAAACGGGACAAACGGGACGGTTCGGGAAAAAAATATTAAAAATCGATACCGACATTGTTTCAACCGGTTCGGAACCGGAACCGGGACGAAAATTTTGAAAACCGATTGGAACCCTATTTTTTCGGAACGGGACCATTTCGGTCCGGTTCGGGAACGGAAAATCCGGTTTTTTTGCCCACCCCTAGATGTAGCGCGATACTGTTCATAACTCTAATGTAGTGCAGAGATGTAGCTCAGCGTTGGAGAGTAATTTTGTCTCTACTTTAGCGTATAAAAAGTGTTTGTCTCTTGTATTTTTGCAGAATGGGTTTTGGCCATTGTACTAAAACCCTGGCTAGGCGCCTGCGTAGGTGGCAAATAGGCACTACTAAGTAGCATTCGAGTGCCCTGATTTTTGTCTAGGTGGTCATTCTATGAGCTCGGTCAATTAGTCACCGCCTAGGCAGTCCAAGCAGTTGGAAAGTTAGTCCCACCTAGGTTGATTAGGCAGTCAGGCGCTGCCTACAAGAATAAATTTTTTATTTTTTTTAAGTATAATAAAAAAATGAAAATATGTACAATTAGTATAAAATAAAAAATAATATTTATACAAAATAATATAATGATTATAGGTATATAATATTTTTAAAAATCTTTGTATTTAACCATAGTATATATTATAAAAATAGATTGTATATTATGCGTTATTTTAAAGGCAAAATTGCGGCTAATATCATGACCTTTATCGAGATTGCAAATTAATCACAACCTTTTAACTTTTGCATAATATATCACGCCCTTCAATTCTTTGCAAAACGATACACGATTTCATCTGTTGCCCCAACTAGTCTGACGTGGCATTCAAAAATGCCAACACACCTGCTGATGTGTATTTATCAGATAATTTTTGTTTGGCAAAATTGCGGCTAATATCATGACCTTTATCGAGATTGTAAATTAATTACAACCTTTTAACTTTTTGCATAATATATCACGCCCTTCAATTCTTTGCAAAACGATACATAGTGTTGCACGTGTATTCAAACATCGGGTTGCCTCTCAAGGAAGGCTAGCCGGATTACTTTGTACGTGTATTAAATCACACGAAAAGAGAAAACAAATCCTAAACACTCTAATTCAACTATTTTTTGTTTTGATTATCAACTATAAATTTTAAAAATAAAGCAAGACACACTTCAAATTCCAAATGGAGATCAAATAATGACTGGTGAGTTAGGGAGTCAGAGATATTCGTTTATGGTTCTCAAGCAATCGATTACCACGCAATCGATCGGTTAAGAGATCAAATAACACACTCGTTTAGAGGCTTGTTCTCAATAACTCTTCGTAACAAGAGAACAAATATGAACGATGAATTATCGAACAATTAACACATAGACAATACATTAACGAACAAGCCTATTCTAAACGAGCCGAGATCAATCAATTTCTCCCCTTCCGGTTCTACAAATTGATTAACTAGATTAGAATGATGATCAAACATCTAACCCTAGATTAAACACAACTTGAATAGATTGAACGGCAAACACGCACACATGAATCAAACCAAAACAAATATCCCCTATCCCTAACGAAGCGACTTAGCTAGCCACACATATTGATATCAATCCCAACAACAGATTCAACACAATAAATCACATCCATAATCAAATGAAAGGAAATTACGATTAATCAAGTCGAGAATGAAATCGAAATACAAACCAAATCGTGTTCATTATGGAGTGCCACAATCTCCAAAACTCGAATCCAAGCAAAATCCAAAGAAAACCAAGTGAAAGTTGTTGAGAGAATGAGTTTTGAAATGAAAAGATAAAAGATAAAAATATCAATAATCTGTTTTCTCTCCAGCATAAGCCTAATATAACCCTAAGGGTTCCAAAATCTCCCTCTTATCTCATCCAGGGATGAGATGGAAAAAAAAAATCATCTATTACATACACATCAGTAGGCGCGCTGGCATTTTGAGTGTCACGTCAGACGAGTTGGGGCAGCAGATAAACTCGTGTATCGTTTTGGCGTGATATATTATGCAAAAAGTTAAAAGGTTGTGATTAATTTGTAATCTCGATAAAGGTCATGATATTAGCCGCAATTTTGCCAAAAAAAAAAAATTGTCTGTTAAGTACACATCAGCAGGTGCGTTGGCATTTTTGAGTGCCACGTCAGACGAGTTGGGGCAATAGATGAAAACCGCGTATCGTTTTGCAAAGCATTGAAGGGCGTGATATATTATGCAAAAGTTAAAAGATTGTGATTAATTTACAATCTCGATAAAAGTCATGATATTAACCGCAATTTTGCCTTTTTTAAATATCAATAAGTTTATTAATATTTTACGACTCCACTTGAATTAATCCCCCTCTATGCATTAGACTAGAGCCTTGGTTTTGGCATATTACTTTCTAGGATACAATAGATACGAAAATGATTGCAATATAAAATCAATTTTTTAATTGATAGTTTTGAAAACACTCTCCAAAGATATCTCCCTAAACTTGCAACATGCATTCAATTCATACCCAGGAGAACAAATTGAATTCTCCCCCTCATGCATTCAATGCATTTACTCACTATTATCATAGTGATGGTATGTTGACATCACCTTTAGTTTTCCCAACTGCCAAAGCAGAGGCACAAACAAAAATTGTGAACATGATGCAACAGATTCACTTAATTGATCTTGTTCATACTATCTGCTTAGTAGTTAATAGTCTGTATCTTACGGCTTCAGCCTAGCCAAAATACCGTCTGTAATCACTTTCATCCATCTCCAACATCCAGAGTTACTCTATTGTACCACCACCCTTTGGGACTAGGTATGAGAACTTAACTACTTTTCAGATTTGACAAAATATAAGTAGGATATAAAGGATAAGACAATTTCCTATACAACAATCACAAAGTAAACTAAAACCAGGGAGTGTTCTGTATCCATATCCTCAAATAACAACGTAATGCAAAAAGGGACACTGCAAACTTCAGTACTGTTTCAGATAAGAAGTGTGCTGGGAGAGGTCCAGTATTGATCCCTGGAACAAGAGCATGACATCCACCTAAAACAAGAAAACAAAATATCCTATAAGTAAACAATATCCTCACATATTAGCCATAACCATCCAACCATTGTCCGTCCTTTAACTATGTGGCAAGCATCCAAGGAAACATTTTCATTTTTCCACAAGAAATTTATAAGCAAAAGGCAACATGATATGATGAGAGATGCAACGCAAGAAGAATAATCAGATGCAGATACGCTTCTTTGATAGTTCCACTTTCATCATTCAAACTTACTGCTGGCAAGTAGATTTGTTGGTCGGAGAATGGGTCACATTTTATTCATGAATTATAAGACTTCAGATGAAAATCAATAGGTCTGTGTGCTACATTCCAATTAATAGACTTCGCTAAATGAAACATCATAGTAGTGGACAGCACGATGGTCTTCATGAGAGCAATGGAACCAACCTCATCAATCTACAGCCATTAGTGAAATCACAAATCCATGACACCAGCCATAAACAGGTATGACGATTCAAGAATCTGCAAATCATCATCTCATTTTAAAACCTGGGGTGACAGACACTAGAAACACAAGTAGAGTATTACTTATAAATAGATATACCATTTCAAAATCGGAGAATACGGTGCAGGACATGGGGATACAGAGTTATCGGGTAACTGGTTAATCAGATCTACCGTTGCCTGTAAACATGCTTTTAAAATTTTCTTCTCCAGCCTGACAAGTTGCGTTGCTACTTGTTGTTTTGGATTAATGTTGCGGTCTACAAGCTAAAAGTGAAAGAAATCAATTGGAGCACGTATAAAAAGTTATAGCTAAATATTTAAAGGTCCTTTGTAGTTACCATGTTCTCATCCTCAGAAAGTGTAGTAGGATAACCAGCAAGTCTTTTTATAAAATATTCCGCCAGTTGGTCAAGAACAGCACGTTCCATACAGGAACTCACCTATGTGTATCAAGAAAAATTTCAAAGTGAAACAACAAGCCATTTTCAAAACAACTTAAAACTGGTACTATTTAATGCCACTAAATGAAAGCTGCAGCTGAAAATCTGACTTTTGTTGTGTGTGCCTGTGGGCTGATCTTATAGTAGAACACCTGGAAAATGGAGAAGATCAATTCCTATATGTGTATACTATCTTATGCAGACAAGTGTGACTGAATGGCGCTCCTTGGTTCCTATTAAACATGATAAGTATGCAGTCCTGGGAAATGTCAGTATGGGAAATGTCAGTATGAGCTTACCGGACATATTGGACCTTGAGAAGATAAAACAGATTGCATCTCTGAAGGATCAGAAACATATCCCAATCGCAAATAAGGAAGCATATCCATCACAGCCTCTCTTTCCTTTCCCACAGAAACCTGTCCAAGGATGTATTATATATAACTTAGAAAACAGTCCTCAACACATTATGTATATAGTCAGTCAGTCCTATCAGCGAGTGGGCATGAAAATTGTCTTCTTTCTTGTATGAACTGTACCGACTATATATAGATATGTGTCTATGCAGTCGATAGATAAGTACCTGAAAAACTTGTACTGATAGCTTTCCATTTCTTTGAGCAGCCAACCTTTTCTCCTGATACTGAGGATCCTCAGTATTCAAAGAAGCCTAAACGACAGTAGAGAGTGATCATCCATACGAAACAATTGCGAGTAAAGAAGAAAGGACACAATATTTTACCTCAACCATCAGGCGATCATAGGGATTATCTTCATCAACAAAACCATAGTTGATGAGTAATTTTGAATTAGGTTGCGGCCCACACCTAAGAGGAAAATAACCACCAAGTAAGCCAAGCATTTTAAATGATTTGAATAGGTCAAAACAAGGAATAGGACAAACATTATTGTATGTGTGTCTGTGTGAGAGAGATAGAGAGATAGAGAGAGTGAGCATAACCAGACAGCAATAGGTTCCCCAACTTTATAGGGACGATCAACGACAAGTTGCACAAGCCCATCAACTGCAGTTAGCATCGCTTTGCAGTTGCTTCTATAGGACAATAATGGAGGTCCCAAAGGAACCAAAGCAAATCTCCTGGCTAAACTGACTTTCTGTGATGAAAAGGAAAACAAAAACAACTGATATCTTCTGGGGAAATGCTAATATTGTTTGAATGACACATCAGAAGACAACTTCAGTTACAGCATTACAGAGATACTACAGAAACACCATATGAACAAGACACACCTGCAAATGAACCACACATGATTGAACTGCAACAAACGCTTGTTTGAAAATCTCGAATGGGAAAGCCTCTGTAGGTATATCATATGGGTATTGCTGAAAATTGTTAAAACATTCAAAATTAAAAAGAGGTTCACGTACAAGGGAAAAAAAATAAAGGAATTTTTTATGTGACAAATTATGAACAGTAAGTTTTAAGGTAACCTGAAATAGAGAACCAGCCATGAACCAGACAGTGTCAAGTTCATTATACTCTCGCTTGATTCCTTCAGCTCTCTCCAGAACCTCAGCCTGACTTCACAAAATATGCAAACTAAAGACCTTGACTACATAAAATACATAGTAAGCAATTGTTACTGCATTCATATGTGAACTTTTACATTCAACAACATAAAGCATGTGGCAAGTATAAGCTAACCTTTGTAGGGCTTCCAGTTAGGTAATCTAGTTCAACCTCTGACCATAAAAGTGGTGATTCAACAGCTAACTGCCCCCTACCTCGCTGACGGTCAAGTTCTCTAATATATGGATACCAGAAAGACTTTTTACCCTGCTTCTTCTCGTACATTAAATATAGTGCCAAACAGGCTAATTCTGATAGCTTGTTTGTGGTTAAAAGTTCAGCTGCATCAATATAGGTATAGGATCAAACTCATGAATTTTCAAGGATCAAACTAAAAGAAATACTCCAACTCAGAGGGGGGCAGGGAGGGAAAGAGCCTATTGAATCAAGGAAATAGAAAGTCAAAAGCATGAGAAAAGCCAAAAACAGAACAAGTGATGATGACCTAATCCCTAGACCCATCAAGAATTGCCAATCATACCTAATACCAGAAAGATAATCCATCAAGTACTCATCAACAATAAAATATACAAACTCAATCTACCAGCATCAAGCCATAAAAGCCGTTGCCACCATGAAGTTAATACACTGAGATCTAAATATTAAATAAAATCTTATAGAAGCAATATAGAATCTCTCTCTAGTAAAATAATAAACACACACACAAACAGAGAGACAAGAATGTAGGTTTTTCCCTTGCGGCTAGGATGTGGTTCTCACCAAACAAAAACAGTAACAAGCAGTGACTAATAACAAGCCAGGGACCCATTAAATGCTTAAACGCACTGTTTTCCAGTTCACATGCAGAAAAATACTTCTTAATTTCACATTTCACCAATATCATGGTAAAAGAATCAGGTGACTCATTGTTGAAGGAAAACAAAGAAAGAGCAATGGGAAAAATATACACCAGAAAAAGTATAGCATCTCCTTACCAATTGTTTCATTTCCCAATACTCTCTCGAGGGTCACCACCAATGAAGTAGGGACAGAAAATGCTACATCACCTTCCTGACAATCGCAACATATCAATTCCCAAAGACAATTCGTGAATTAGGATCTAAATCACATTTTGTCTATTCGAACATAATAACTATCTTACGAAACAATTGTTATAAGGCATGCAGTATATTAGCTCTTGTACTTGTTTGGTGTCGGTTATTATTTCAATAAGCATCAGATTCAAGTCCGACTAAACTCCTAAATGCAGGCATAGACAATACTAAATTGCGTTCCACTTAAATAACTGGATAACCATAATAAGTTAACCTGAAGATCTTCACTGGCTGCTACATAGTGAATAGGACGATGCTTCGAATCGTGAGAAGGTCTTTCTTTAAGCATAACTTTGCAGGAAGGAAGTCCGTTCCTATCCATCCAAGACTTCAAATCTCCGAGCTCCTCCTCCTTGTCGGCAAATTTACTCGATTTCACTATTGTATCAGAGTTGGAAGCCGCGAAAATACTTGCACATTTTCCGAAATGCTTAGGCTTTCTGGAGAGGGAAACTGCAACCGCACACCGATGATAAGGAAGCAGCGGCGGAGGGCGAAATGGAGATGGAACGCAGTGTGTATTCTTCAGCAAGTCCATAGTGAGTAGATAGTTAAAATAGGATCAAAATTCATGCATCCGATTTGCTATCAGGAATTGGCTAGGTTACAGGAGACTGGGATTAAAGGGATTTAGAGCGCCGGTGGTGAAGAAGCTCTGGGGGACATGAGAGGTTGATTGATGGAGGTCGGTCGGTTGAGCTAAAAGATATTTGTAATTTTTTTTACTTTTAGAGCATCTCCATATCTCTATCTTGTTGCACAAATAATCTTAATCTTACGTTCTTGAAAAAATTCTAGAAAATTTAACACATCACAAATCATACCACAATTAAAATCAATTATTGGAGACATAATTTCGTAGTTTTCATTCTATATGTCATTCAACACAAAATGGATCATTTTCCATTGGAGATACTCTTAGACTAGTGTGTACCCCGTGCGATGCACGGGAACAATATTAAATTAACAATATTATAAATAGATCTCGACTTTGACTCATTAAATGGCGGAAGTGGAAACTACTATCGCTCCTATTTAAAAAGAGGAAGAAAAAAAATAATTATAAATTAAAAAAGAGGATAAACAATACTTAATAATTATAAATTAAAGATTCAGGGTCAAACAATGTAAAATTATTTTGTATAAGAGAATATGAAAAAATTTGATTACACACCATCTCAAAATTATTATTATATTTTTTTATATGGTTAGCTTATAACATTTGTAAAAATATTAGTAATTAGACCGATGAAAATTAGCTTCTTAAAGTAGATAATGGATTTCTAGTAGTAATTATGAATTGATTTCTATTTTATTTTATTTTTTTTAAAGATAATGGATTTCTAGTAGTAATTATGAATTAGTTTCTATTTTATTTTATTTTTTTAAATTAGTTTCTGTATGCAATGGGATTTTGTAACAGAAGAGATAAGCTCGTGTAGATTTATACTAAAAATAGGAAAAAGAAAAATAAATATTTATTGTCAAACAACGGTTTTGATAAACTAAAAAACGGGAGAAATAAATCTTTACACAATTAATGAGCCGATTTTTTTGCCTATTCAGATTTGTCCAACAATTACTATATGTAGGATATATTTAATGATTTTGGCGGGAAAAGGTTTCTAAATTTGTAAAAAAGTTATTCTTTTTATATAATGATAGATATCAAATAGCGGAGGTCCAAATCACATAAGCAAAAATCTACAGTGAATTTTTTTTGTCATTTTCAATTGTAAAACACAAATTTTAGCTATGTTTTGGCAAAAACATCTTTTTTAGCCATTTTGGCACCTAAAAAGATAAACATACCCTTACTGTCTATTTTTTTTAAAAGAAAATCATAAATATCAAAATCATAAATATCATCTCTAGACATGGCCAACATGGCCAAATGGCGGGCGGGTCGGTTCAGGGCCCGGCCCGACGGGCCGAAGGGTTGGGTTTTGTCGACCCTGAACCGGCACGCCCTAAATCCGTACCGGGCCCGACCCGGTTCTAACCCGGAAAAATTAAAAAAAAAAGAAAAAAAATAGAAAATTTCAAAAATAGTTGATTTTTCCCGTGTCGAACCGGACCCGGCCCGGCCCGCCGGTTTGGCGTCGAACAAAGACGACCCTGAACCGGCCCGGTTGAAAATCCGAGCCGGGCCCAGACCCGTGGTCAACGAGTTTGACCGGGCCGGGCCCGTGCCGGGTCGGCGGGCCGGTTGACTCGTGGCCATGTCTAATCATCTCTCTTCCCTCATTCAATTTCATTCCCTCATTCATTTACAATTTCATTCTTTCATCTCAATAAAAAAAAAATCATTCTCTTAACAAACAAAAAAACCATTCTCTCCATATTCTCAAAATTCCGGCAACATTCCGGTGAAATTACGGTGATATCTCGGAAATATTAGTGTAAAGGTATGTCTATAATTTATCTTTTTTTATTGGGTCACATACATAGTATTCAAATTAATAACATGAATATTGCCAAAAAAAAAAAAAAAAATCTATGGGCATGACTGATTTCTTGGAACATTGAATGATTTTTCGACCAGAAATCAATTTTTCGGTCCAATAAATTGATTTCCGAGACCACAAATTGATTTCTGGTCCCAAAAATCTATTTTGAATCCCAACATGGTTTATGGGATCGCAGAAACAGTAGATACATTCCAAAAATGTTTTTCGAATCGTATAAACCATTTATGTGATTCCAAAAATCATTTCTGGTTCAATTTTATTTGTTTTATTATAAACATTGAATACTTAATTCTCAAATAATTCTTGGGAATTGTTTGTCAGTAAAATGCTTTTGCATCTTTGTTTTACAGATATATGAAAAAGTTTGAATTGTGCATAGCGGATTTTGGGATGAGAATGTTTATAAAAATGGACAGGCAGAGATGAACTTTATGCATTTGGGATTTTGTCGTATGAAGACTTTTTAATAAGAGTTAATGACATTGTTGGTGGAGACAAACACACGTGTGTTGGTCGGGATTGCCGAATATCGTGACCGTCGGATGTGCTGTGGAGACATATATATCCGTCAGAACACAAACGGACTACCTCCGCAACATATTTATTCGTCGGAACACAAACGGACTACCTTGAGATCTTATGTTGTATAACCGATCACCCCTCCCGTTGTCTTGGTGGGCGACTCGTCCAATCTCCCAAAGCCTCACATAAATGACGTAGCAACATATTGTCCGAGCTACCAAATTTCCAAACTACTAACATACTATGTTGTCCAAGCTAATCACACCAAACTTTATCCCATCTACTCGTGCAACCTATTTACTCGAGCTAAATGGTACCAATTCGCCCGAGCTACTTACATATGTTATATCACACTTCTACATACAGTGCAACAAATAAATATGCATCATTAAATGGCCTTCGCCAAAAATAGTCTTTTAGTTGAAAATGAAATCGAAATAAGACATTTCAACCAAACAGCAGTTCGAATTTAAAATGGCCTTGGAACCAAACCCACTAGAGGCACAAACTTGACAAAAAAAAAAAAAAAAAAAAAAAAAATGTTAAAACCAACATTTTACTCACAAAACCACAAAATCGAGGACAACCACAAAAGAGCTCCTCTTAGGCACTACCTTTTTACTACTAACCACTCTCAATGGACCCACACATACTCTCACGACCTCAAGTTTCAAGACAACCAGTCGAGAATGGCTAAAATACAAAGCGCAAAGAGCCCTTTTGAATAATGAAATAATAACCAACAGAAAGCAAATAGAACCACCATTTTGTTATGGCTCCATCATCTATTAAAATATTTTCGAAACACTTGATATAGGCATACGGTACAAAAATTGAAGGAGCCATTGAATTTAAGATGCCTTTTGTGTGTCGCTCTCCTCAACAGCAGCTTCGAAAGTCTCGACAGCAACAAGCTCAGACACCTCATCATCATCATCAACTGCTTGTGGCCCACTTTCACCATATGTGGCGCCACCACCTGCAGCAGCGGGACCTTGCTTATGGAATTGTTCCGTCAGCTCAACAAAATACATAAAGCAAAGCGTTAACTAGTCAACACGAAAAAAATACAACAAAAGAACAAAAGAGGTATGCAACTGTACACGCCCTTTTAGCAGCTTTTTTTACTGTCTCAAAATTAAATTTTTACCTTCAAAGTTCGTAGCTTAAATAATGCTTTGGCAAAAAAAAAAAAAAATTGTTTGAGGCTTTTTAACTTGTACTTACGAGATTTTTCTTTTTGAAATTTTCGATGTACAGCTTTAAACGCCCTATCAGCCAATATCTGGACCGTCTCAAAATTAAATTTTCACCATAAAAATACGTTATAGGCCTTAAATAATGGTGTGATGTGGAAAAAGAAATTTTTTTTGAGTCTTTTTAACCATAATTTATGATTTTTTTGTATTTGAATTTTTTGGTGTACAGCTGTACATGCCCTTTTAGCTGTTTTTTTTACTGTTTCAAAATTGAATTTTCACCTTTAAAATTTGTAATATACCTGTTTATATTTAACGTGATTGTAGGAAGATAGTATCTCACTTAATATGTTAACGGTTTTTTAGCTTGAGGTCAAATAAATGCAATTGAAAAGGCATGGTTGCAAATATAATTACTCACTTGGTAAAGTCAAAATTATTTAAAATTCTTGTGGTGGAGACCAAATTTCGACTAATAAATAAGGACTAATGAATTTGGATTTTCACTATTCGTAATATAGAAAATTTGTTAAGCCCAATTGGATTTCGATTCGGTTTGGTAATTTAGAACAACTTATGAACCATAATCATATCGAAACATGATCGGAAATCGATATTCGGTGACCGTAAAAATTGATTCGATTTGATTCGATATTTTTAAGCATCTGTTCGATTTTATATTTTTTGGTAAAAAATGACGTCCTTACAATTAGTCCAGTGCCAAATACTTTGGGCTCCAAAAAATATTAATCTAAATAAAAAATATTAGTCCACCGAGTAGGGACTGACAATTTGTGATGAGGCCGCTGAATGAATGTGGGAATACGACAAAAAAAAAAAAAATCTTTAAAGGNAAAAAAAAAAAATCTTTAAAGGAAGCATTAAATCTCGAAATGCTTTGGACGAGACTAATCCAACTAAGAAGCCCAAACTTTAAACTAGAAGTCCAACATTAAGACTAGGGCTTCTTCTGTCTCTCTCCTATAAAATGATGGAACCGTTCTTCAATGGCGAAAAACTGAAGGCGATTATCTCCTCTGACACCATGGTTCCCGATGGCTTGTAGATCAAGGTGAAGGCTCCCAGGGACAAGCTTACGCTTAACTTCAAGCATCTGAACCTCGATTTCTGGCTCATCACCGACGAAGCCACTTCAGAAAAGAAGCTGAAGGTGGACATCTGGGCAGCCAGAAAACAACCGCTCCCACATCACTGCATCACGAAACTTCCTTGGGCAGAAGAGGGTATGAGGAATTTATTGCAATTCTTCATGTTTTGTGCATTTTAACTTGTAGAATATTTTACCTGTAGAATGCTTTACCTGATGTTTTTTGTTTTGGGATGTTCGATTAAAATTGTCATACTATGATGTGTTACATTTTCACGCTTATCATATTTTGTGCTCAAATTTTCCCGAAAAATGAAAAATGTCTGTTAGTATATTGTGCATCTTAAATATTGTTAGCAAATTGAAATAGTAGGTACTTTCATGCATCTGCAGAAATAGTGCGTGTACCTTTCCTTCTTATATTGACTGGTATTCTTCTATGAGTGGTAGAGGGGTTCCACGTGATTGCCGACTGCGGCCAGCTCTAGATCTGATCTGATGTGATGTGGTTTAGATCTGATGATTATTATTTATCGTTTTAATATTAATTTTGATTTTTATTATGCTTGTTCAGTTTGAACTTTGTGTGTTGGGTTTCGTAACTACCATGAGAGGCTGATCATGTGGAGCTTGTTTTTTTACCTAATTGTCGTTTCAATTGTGAACTGCCCTAATAACAATTATGCTACATTTATCTTAAAAAAAATACCATCTTCTCGCTGCAAGTACGAATGGACTGTAAATTGATTTACATTTCGTTTGTAGCAAATTTGTTTGTTTCAGGTTGTTTGTCATGAGGGTATTTGTTTTTGTTCTCATTTTGTGATTGGGTTTTCGATATTGGGTGTTTGCAGGACTGAGTTGGGCACATTCAAGGATGGAGATCTCTTGGTAAATCGGGACTGTCCGGATTGTGTCCCAGAGTGAAGTTGAAGCTGCAATTCATGGTTTTGCATTCGGAATTGATTGTTCATTAACAACTCCCCTGTTATTGAGTGTGCACCAATATGGAATTCTGGTATGTGATACGATTAGATTGGTGGGTTAAAGTTATTGAGTGCGCAATTTTTCGCTCTTAAGGTATGGGCCTCTTTCCTCTTTTGCAGGGGAAATGGGGGTGTTGTCTTGTGCGCAATTTTTCGCTCTTAAGGTATGGGCCTTTTTTCCTCTTTTGCTTCCCTTTAACTCTGACAGTGACATTGACTTTTATAATTGATTGGTTAAACTGTATTTTCTTATTTTTGTGATAAACAAAAGCATATCAAACACAGCGGCAAAGGGATTAAAATTCGGTCAAAGCTTATGTTCTATTCTTTCTTCTTGTTTTACCTTTTCCAGCACAGAGAATAAGTGGGTTGCATAAAGGCAAAATGCTCAATGCCACCAAATTTTAAACCTAATATGTGCGTGAGGACTCTGTTTTTCTGGTAACATGTTCAAATGTCCCACCATCAAAGTATTACCCAGCACCTAGGTAATTAATCATAAAAATAAAATTTCTTCACGGAGAAAGTCGAAAAATACAAGCTTTGCAATCGTGGAGAAAAAATTAGGGAAGAGGGCATAAATTTTCGGAGCCGAGTTTCAGTAGACGACTTAAAGCTTCGCTATCATCGACCTCACACACACAAACATAGATAGATACACACAATAGGAATACATAAAGATGGAGAGCGAAAGCGTACCGGGGTGGAGACGCCGGAGAACCCTTGGCCGGAGCAAATTCTGTTCTCAAATTTAAGTCGCCCTGATTTTATGAACAAGCTTTGCGAATTGTGTGAAGAATAAACATTAGACATATCAAATAAGAGACGAATGAAAATTATGTTTTAATATATCTTGCGTACTCGGAATCCGACTCAAGATCAAAATGTATTTTAATAAAGCTAAATCTATATCTATATATACTAGATGGCTCCGGCTGTGCTAAGCACAGCCAGCATGGCCCTGTTATATGTGTTCGAAAAAAACTTATATAGAACTTTTTTTTTATTTTTTTTTTCATCATACTGGTGTAAAGAAAAAGGGAATGTTTAGAGTTAATGCAATATGAGGTTCTGCTTAGTTTATATTTTGAAGCTATTGTTATTGAATAAAAGGTTACACATAGATCAGTAAATAAAAATGGTAGAAAATAACAAAAATATTTACTTTTATTAATGAAAAACTAATCCAGACGGAGATGCAATAGTTTCAATGAAAACAAACTAAAGTGACAAAAACACACGACATATCAAAGTTGCCTCCAAAAATTTGAAATTCAACAAACCAACATGATATAACAAAGCACATACCCGAAAAACCAAAAACTTAGCATTCGAATAATGCAAACACAAGAAAGCTAAAGTAAAATAAATGTCTGTACCATAAAAGCTTATTGCTATACACCACGAAGCGACCGAAAGCAAGAAGGCAAACCAAACACTCTGACAGCCTATATAATACAAACCAAAATTGTCAAAAGCCAAATACTCAGAACATCATAAGCCAATGCAAAAAATTTGGCAAAAATAATGTTATAGCAGTATGCAATAAAGAATTGAGGATGCATGCATAAACCAAAAGAAAGCACCTATTTGACAGGTAAAAAGAGAACAGACATTTAGAAAGGAGTTAAACTATGAAGACAATTGGCAAAAACTTTGTAACCATGACAGACAATTGTTTCAAGAACAAATAATGCACATAACAACAAAGTCGAAACCTCACAAAAAAAACTAAATAGACTACTGACCTACGCTAACCAACCAACAGAACCTTCTAATAAATCAACAGTCAACTAATTGAACAACAAACAGATAAAGTAGCAGACCACAATGAAACCCCAAGTAATGTAAAAAATAATACCCAAGCATACAAAACAATTACACGAATCAGGAAACACAAGTAAAAAAGTATATTAAACCAAACACACAGACAGACCAGATGGAACGATAAAAACAATGAATGGAAGTTTTTGTTTTAAATGACCAACATGACACCACAGTTAGTTCATGAAACACAAAAGATACCAAAAACATGACATATGAGTCTCCACACATTCACGATAAAAATAGTAAGTAACTAAATAGAAATACCTGTAAACCCTTAGACAAACCCTAAGTATGAATGAACCACAACAAGCAGACACCTAAATCTCCTAAGCAAACACCAGCAAACCTACTCATACAAAGTAAAAAAAGCAAAGCCGCAAATATGTAAACAAAGCCAAAAAACAATACAATAAAAGAAGAAAGGAAAAGCAAAACACAACATATGAATTCGGGCTTTTGTAGTGGTTATGTTCTCAGAATTACTGATTATGTTCTCCATTTCATCATATTCCTATTCTACTGCTACATTCGGTTCGAATTTTTCACATTTTCCTTACATCTTTTTTCCTTCTCCATTTTTCCTTTTGTAGTGGTTTTCCTTTTCCAGTTTAAGGAAGTGAATAATAACAAAACAGTTTACAAGTAGAAGTGTATTCAACCAATATTGAGAAAACTTCCTATACCAGGCAATCAATCATGTTCAAAGTCCCGGATCATCAAGTGGCAGGACACAAAGCCGAGGCCGGTAAACTTGGGCCTCTTGTCGATGGATTCGGGCTTTTTTACAAGCCTCTGCAGGGAGACGAACGCGGATCAAACGAGGTCTCTTTCTACACCTCTTTCTCGTCAAACGCCAAAATCCCCAAACACATTGCTCGATTTTTTCCCAAGTTCCATGGCACCCAGCTTCTAGAAGCTTCCGATGGATCCGGCATGCAGCCCCACATGGTCCTGCAGGACCTCACCTTCGGTTGGGTCGACCCGTCTGTAATGGACATAAAAATCGGGTCAAGGACTTGGGCCCATCAAGCGCCTGAGGACTACATAAAAAAATGTCTGAAGAAAGATAGGGAGAGCACGAGTGTCTCCCTTGGGTTCAGGCTTTCGGGCCTGCAAGCGTTTGGGAGCAAAGAAACGGGCTTTTGGAAGCCCGGGAAATTGGAGGTCAAATCCCTCTCGGTCGATGATGTCAGGCTATATCTGAAAAGGTGCGTTTCTTCTGATGTGTTTGGTTCTAAACCGGATTGTGCGTTTGCTTCGGTTGTTTACGGGGGCTCGACTGGTATTTTGTCGCAACTGCTGGAGCTGAAGGCGTGGTTTGAGGATCAAACGATTTATCATTTCTATGCTTGCTCGATACTTATTATGTTTCAGAAGGAGGAGGATGTGTTAAATGGGAAGATCCCTCGTGCGGAGGTCAAGCTTGTCGATTTTGCACATGTTTTCGAGGGGAAGGGTGTTATTGACCACAACTTCTTGGGCGGGCTTTGCTCTTTGATAAAGTTCATATCCGAGATACTCACAACTCCAGAGGAATGTGTTGTTTAGAATTTTGCTCAAGGGTTGTTTTCAACTTCTCGTGCTTGATTTTGGCACTGCTCTTTTTTTTTTTTTTTTTTTCTCTTCATTTTTTTTGGTACAATTCGTTGACCTCGATTTAATTCATTTTTTGTTACGACATTTCAAATAATTTTTGTGTGAATTGCACTGTTCATTTTTTTTAGCATGATAAAGAGTGTCGATTTTTTTGGCATAAAAAATCTTATGACTGATTGCTTTTGCTCAACTACTTAAATTTTTTTATTTGGATATTTATACAAAAATAAATTCATTTTAGTTAATAAAACAATATAAGTTTTATATTTATTTATACTTATTATTCACATAGGTTTTTAAATGTGTGATAAAATTTTACTAAAATAACTATTTTATGGAATTACGTTATAGTTAAATCGAATTTATGAATAATAATTTTAAAATAACACATATTTTGAAACGAATATAATGTAATTTATTATCAGTTATGGGCAATGCACGGGTTGGTTACTAATTTTAAATAGACATTTTTATATAATTTTGTATAATTTAAATTTTAGATAACAGTTACAATAAATTAATATAGGTACGTTGTATTACATATTGATTCTATGTTTTTTATTTATAAATAATATTAATGAGAATTTTTAATTTGTAAATATTAATGAATATCTATTACATGTGCATCGGACGGGATTGAACAGAAAAAGTACTCAATAAAAAACAATTTGATTAAGTTAATTATTTTATAAGCTACCCCTAATATGCTCATATTTAATGTTTTAAAAGATATAGAAAAAAAACTTATAATAACTCTATTGTTTTTTAGACTTAAACGTTGATTAAAAGAGGTAAAAATTCCTAATTTTTTAGACTTAAACGTTGATTAACACCATAGATTGAGAGTTTATATTTAGTAAAATTCCTAATTGTAATAAAAAAATTAATTTTTGCTATATTTTAGAATATCTTTAAATTCATTATATAAAAAAAAGAAAAAAAAACTACAATGAAAAAAGCAAGTCATCTATATATCGATTTGTTGTACTCATCAAATCACATTCACAATTTGACTACAAGGAACGGAAACTCATTGATTAAAATATTATTTTGTCAGTAGTCTTAATGTACAAGAGACTTTAAGACTCCACTTGAATATTATAAAACTTTTATTGAACATTGTACAATTTTCTTGTGTATTATAAACTTTTATTGAATATTGCATTTTATAATGTAATATTCTCCAAATAAATATATCTCGTGCTTCGCACGGCTCACGTACCATATATATCCCGTACATTTTTCTTTATTCATGTATATAATTATAAGCCTGGATAAATAGCCTTAAAATTGTGTACCACGTGCATCGCACAGGCTCTGTACTAGTTAGCGTTATTAAGCATTTGTTACAAAATGCCTAATAAATGCTAATATTAATGTTAAATCCGTCTGTTTTGTTGTGTATTATCTAGCTATGTCTTAGGCCAAAATCTTAGGGCAGGAACTTGTTTTGTTGTATATAACTCCGATATGCCCTTAGAACCAAAAACTGTTGTTAGCTTCATGCCTTTGGGCCATAAACTATTACTTTTGTTATGCATAAAATACTCGAAAATTGGCTATTATTTTGATGTTCAACACTAACTGAAACTATGTTAAAGGTTTGTGATGTTAGTTTTAGTTTATGATGTTTTTTGCATTGCTGGAAATGTTGGGCCATGGTATTAAAATGTTAGATGATTTATTGTTTTTCTTTCATATTGTCGAATGGTTATTAAATTTTTAGTCTTTTCGAAAAAATTAGAAGTTCTATTCTTTATTTTCTTAGCTTGCTCCATATGTTATGAAACTTCGGTTATCAATTGTATTAATAATATTATGTATACTAAAACATCTAATTGTATTTGTTATTCTTTATGTATAGCAGAGTTTTACTTGGTGTGCAGGAAATTAAAATTTAAATTGTTTGTTTTCCGCCATTGAGCTTAAGTTCTGTTTTTAGTAATCTTTTTGTTAGCTGCATTTATTCTATCAGGAAATTACAAAGTAATATGTTTTGCAACATGTTTGATGTCTTTGAATGCTATTGGTGCTGTTTATGACTATCTATTTCGAAACACAAAAACAAATTTTAAATAAAAAGATTTATATCTTGCTCATATATATGAATACCTTAATAATATAATGATATGTTACCAAAACATATTTTGCATTTAGCATAAATAAATGGATCAAAGTGTTTGTTATTTTTCTTTTCTAATTTTCAGTAATATATATTTATTAATTCATAAATTTAAATATAACTACGTATATAACCTACCGTATGGCGCCGAAAGAGCTGCAAGAGCTCAAGTTCCAAATCCAGGAGTTACTTAACCTTGATTTCATCCGACCGAGTGTATCCCTGTGGGAAGCGCCCGTCCTTTTCGTTAAGAAGAAAGATGGGTCAATGCGAATGTGCATTGACTACCGTGAACTGAACAACCTCATCGTTAAGAACAAGTATCCTCGTCCCCGCATCGAGGATCTCTTTGACCAGCTGAGGGGAGCCAGCGTGTTCTCTAAGATCGATTTAAGGTCTGGCTACCATCAGTTAAAGATCAGAGTCCGATATTTCTAAAACCGCGTTCTGAACCAGGTACGGACACTATGAGTTAGTGGTGATGCCGTACGGATTGAGTAATGCTCCGGCGGTGTTCATGGACCTTATGAATAAGGTCTTCCATCCGTATCTGGACCAGTTTGTCATTGTGTTCATTGATGACATTCTGGTGTACTCTCGGGACATTGACCAGCACAAGGAGCATTTGAGGATTGTGCTTACAGACCCTTCGCTGCGAGAAGCTTTATGCTAAGTTCTCGAAGTGCGAGCTTGACCGTGTGGCATTCCTTGGCCATATCGTGACGGCTAGAGGCATTGAAGTAGATCCCGGGAAGATAGAAGTTGTGAGCAAGTGGGAGATTCCTAAGAATGCGAGTGACACCCGTAGTTTCTTGGGGTTAGCAGGATACTATCGGTGTTTCATTGAGGACTTCTCGAAGTTGGCCCAACCCCTAACCAATCTGACGAAGAAGGCAGCGAAGGTTCACCTTAGAGCCCACAGTGCGAGGCCCGTTTTCAGGAGTTGAAGAGGAGACTGACTACCGCATCCATATTGTCTATTCCCGACCCAACTTTGGAGTTCACGATCTATAATGACGCTTCGAAGATGGGTTTAGGCTGTGTGCTGATGCAAGGGTATGTTGTACATAAGTTTACTTATGATGTGAATAGTGTGATTTACATAAGTAGCAATGAAACTACTTGTAATGTGATTCCATATAATTTATATATCATGTTATTATTTGGGTATTAGAAAAACAGTTATCCAACTTTGATCAATGTCGAACTCAGGACCTCGCACACAAAATTGTGCCTAGAACGCCACCGCACCACGCGATTGTTTACTAATATAAAAGAAATCATGGATATTAAAATTAAAACAAAAGCCTGCGAATTAACCAACAAAATTTGCCTGGAAACAACTGAACAGAAAGTGGAACAGAGGTTGCGAACACGCGAACAGAGCTGGATAAATTCAACCAAACTTGACGACGACATATCCAACGGCAACCGGGTTTCAAGAAACAAGTAAATTTTTGAAAATTACAATTCTTCAAAGTTTCGAAACTTATGAAAAACCAGATTTACGGGCCGAATAAACAAAACGACACACAATGTTCGAACGACATATAAACGAGATATAGAGTCGTGTATGGCTCTAGATCTCGGTAATCCCACCACGAAGTCCATGGTGAGGCGCTCCCATTTCCATATGGGAATCTCAAGTGGCTCCAACGGCCCTCTCGGCTTCTGGTGTTCAGCCTTCACTTGCTGACACACCAGACATTGGTTCACGAAAACCGCATGACCTGAGAGATTTGCTACATTTAGCAGTCTAGAACAAACTCCACACATTATCCCACTAAGACAGGGATCAAAAGCAGTTAAATTCATGCTGAGACATTCAACTCCACTAATCACAAGATAACTTCACTAGGACTTTTTCAGGGTTGTTTGCACAAATTCCTCCATTTATCTTCATATGAACATAAAGTACAAACATGCATACATATGTCTTTTTTTTTGGTACAAATTTACATATGTCTTTCATCACAAGAGAGAACTTCAGTGGGAATATTTTGGGTAGCTTTGCACAAATTCCTCCATTTGTCTTTGAGATCAACCGTGCTACGACATTGATGGAAGACACCGGCCCCATATTCCAGAATTTTCTGCCATGGAATTAGTTTGTCGTGTGGGCTACAGTGTACCCTCATCCCCTCCTGTTTAAGAGAAGAAAATGAACACTGTTAATGAGTACACTGAGAAATTAAAAATTTTATCAACTTCTCCACTCGAATCACCAAGGTGAAGTAATAGAGCGTTAGAATATCTACATGACACTGTTAATGATATGCATAAACGGCATGGTCCTTTCCATATTCAACAACAACAACAACATGGTCCTTTCCATATACAAATAGATAAAACTTCCATGATCACAGGAAGGGGAACTCAAAGCTATTATTAAATATACAAAACCCATGGACTCGATTATATTTCTATGGCATGAATTTACTCTTTAATTTCATCGAGTGGAACAGAACCTAGGAAGCTTTAGGTTTTCAACTGGCGACAAAAAAAGAAGGGACCAAAGCAAAAGTAATAGATGGGTGATGAAGAATACATGTACCTTTAATTTTTCTTCTTCTTCAATAGTCCAGGGGATTCTTTTCCGTCTCAGTTGAGGAATGGCTGGATGTGAACTGCATAGGAAGATAAGATTAACCTTATCATTACTCTGTGTTAACGCAAGGAACACAATCCTATCTACTACAATCTTATTTGAGTAATCCAGCTTGACATGATCTGTCCAGATATCCATTTTATTTTGATAGAGTTGACGCACTCGTGTTAATATTACAGTGACGCACTCATGTTAATATTAACACATTTAACTGAAGAACATAAACTAAAACATCGAAAGAATCCAAAAGCCACAAGGACTTTCATTTGGACACAAACTACAAGCATGCATTAACAAATGTCTTTCATCACAAGATAACTTCACTAGGACTTTTTCAGGGTTGCTTTGCACAAATTCCTCCATTTATCTTCATTTTAACATAAATTACAAACATGCATGTACAAATGTCTTCCATCACAAAGAGAGAACTTCACTAAGACCTTTTCGGGGTAGCTTTGCACAAATTCCTCCATTTATTTTTGAGATCAACCGTGCTACGACATTGATGGAAGACACCGGCCCCATGTTCCAGAATTTTCTTCCACTGAATTAATTTGTAGTGTGGGCAGTGTACCCTCATCCCCTCCTGTGTAAGAGAAGAAAATGCACACTGTTAATGAACGCCTATTAATGAAAACACCTATTAATGAAAACACACTCTCAAACTATAATTGATTATACAAATGCTATTAACATAACAAAACCCATGGACTCAATTATACTTCTATGGCATGAATTTACTCTTTAATTTCATTGAGTGGAACAGAACCTAGGAAGCTTTAGGTTTTCAACTGGCGACAAAAAAAGAAGGGACCAAAGCAAAAGTAATAGATGGGTGATGAAGAATACANAAAAGAAAAAACAAGGTCATGTTATCGGGAATTTCTACCCAATTAGATGCCAAATAATGATATTAGTCCTCAGTTACGGAATGCAAATGCAAATAACATTATGGATCTATTACTATAAATTAAACAGGCACTACAACCACCCTTGAGGACTACCATAATTCTCAATGCAGAGGTAACAATTTGCAGCAATTATCTCTCCTTCCAGCCCGTACCAAAAATTTAAAACACAGACAACATGTCCTTATCATTTGCAAGGAGAAAAGAACTTACGGTTTCGTTTTTTGTTTTCGAACTCTTACAAAGTTCTTGGAGGCCCATGAGTTCTCATTTTCTTGCTCTGATGTTTCTTCCACGTCAGTGGACTGAGAGCTTCGCGAAGATTTGTTTCCATGAGGTAAGTCTGTTTCGGGTGAATGCAAAGTTCCCCTTTTGGATCCAATATCGGCACGCTTCTCACTCCTACCACGTCCCTCAATAACTTGGCCGGATGTACTTTTTCGCAGAGATATGTCAATCTCCACTGCAGGTCTCTGTTGTTCTCCACTAGCTTTCTGAGATTTGAAAGATTGCCTACCTTCTTCCGGAGATTGGGTATTGGTTGAGGCTACAACTTTTCTTCCATCATCCTGATCCAAATTATTTTCATTCGCCTTATATAACTTCCGAGACTGTTTTCCTGATCCATTTTGGGTCCCCAAGCAGAATAAAATTTTCTTAGTCTCCATGTACTTTGAAATTGCTCGAGAATATGCACAAAACTGGCAGTAAAATTCCTCAGTTGGGTCAAAGTCAGCATCTGAATCCAAACAGCTCTGATGAATCACTAGAGGACAGGAATCTGAACCACAAACCAGTAATTGTTCGCCCAAGTTACATTTGACACAAAATTTAGTTCCTCTCCAATCAGTTGTAGCCAAAGAATCTTGACTGTATGTGCATTGGGAGTTCAAGAATGTTTCCTTCTGCGTAGCAATATTCGTCCTCTCGTCATGGCATCCATCACTGTCAGTAGACATATCGACATCTTCATTTTCACCAATATTTGGGAGATCCCCCAAAACACTTAGTTGCAATCGATTCGCGTCTTCATTGGTTGTTCTGAGCCCACGCAGAACACTCTCATCACCTTCAGGATTCTCATTGTCGCGATCTTGTCTCTCCTCACCATCAAAATTGTCATTGTATGGTGGTACCAAATCTTGAGCCTGAATGCCTTGAGGCAAAACTCCATCACGAGTAACATGACCTTTTAATGAAGTATACATGTCTTTAACATCTTCCATAGGTCTACTTTTCTCCAATACCTCTACATCAGCCTCCTTCCCTAAACTGCACCTTTCTTCACCACTGTCTCTCGTGGATGTGCCTGCCATATTTTGATCTCTACATCTAGTTGTTGTCAAGGATTTTTGTTCCTTTGCTTCCATTGTGGTTATATCAACATGGTCATCATTTTTCCCATCGCCAAAGAGATTGACTTCTTCTACTTCCTCGTCACCTTTTTCTCCCTCAATGTCGTCAATATGGTCACTCTTAGCCTCAGTTTTTTTATTCGGCTCAGTGTCACAACGAATAACCTGCTTCTCACATGGTAAAACTTCATTAGAACCACCAAGCCCCTTCGGTGAAGTACACCCAATTTCGTTAGAAGGTCTGTCCATATCCACGTCCCGAGCAGAAGACTCCATTCCCAAACTGTATCTTCTTCCCTCACTGTGCTTCACATATTCTGCAGTCTTATCGGCTAATTGTGCATCAACAGCCGCAGATATCACTTTCTCACCTACATTCGGTTCATGGGAAATGATGTCATGCTTATTCTTCTTGACTAACTCTACATGGGTTTCAGACACATCTTCTGTCAGGTTCTCACTAGTGGCCCTTCTTTTCCTGTTAAGTGGTGCGATATTCTCATCCAGTAAATCTCTTTGTGAAACATCACCATCATCGGCACCAGTTACTCCATGCTCAGGTTCTTTCTTATCTTTCAAACCACTTCGTTCCTTCAAAGATGCAAGGAAAGAATGGCCTCCTGTACACACTGCATTTTCCAGCTGAATAAGGGGAAAAAAGGAGAATGTAGGAAGATTAGAAGAAGCAAAAGACAAGTTTTATATCTTTTCACTATTCATGCATTTAAAAACACACAGATTCATCCACCTGCTGTAAAGCATGCCGAGTCAAGCTAGATTTTTTATACTGGATAAAAGACTGAAGGTCCCATTTTGACATCTCTGGGAAAGGAGGTTTCAGATGCAGTGGAGATATCTGCAGATATATATGGTTTATATCAGTATCAAGACTTGCCTGATAGAAAAATTTGGCATATTGCCTTTCTTATTTAATATTAACAAATGAGGTACCTCTGGTGTTCTCTCAAGTAAATCTATGGCCAGAAGAAATGTAGAACTTTCAAGTCTAAACAACAAATTACCAGAGCCATTAATAAAATTTCCACGAGATATAAGGGTGTGATTACCTAGTAAAGAGTTGTATCAACTTGGTCAGAGCATGCTAGTGCCTCAATGACCCAAATCCATGGAAGAGGTGATGTACAGGACAGCTGGCAATTCATAAAAGACCAACAATGATACCCTGTTATCATTATGCTTTATAAAAGCACCAGAAAGACAATTTTTAAGGAGCATTCTATTTTCTGGATATTAATGCAAGAGAAATGTTGTAGTGATCAAGTAATTACATGAAAAATAATGTCACAAATGCTCAATCCACAATAGAACCTCACAACCGCTGGAAATGAAATGTTATATTGATGCACATACAGTTCAAAACAAAAGATATTCTCAGGGCTGCTTCATTTCACTCATCCAATAAATGAATAGCATAGTTGTATGAAGGTTCTTCAAGACAAACATAATAATATAGTCGCCTCAATGCAAGGAATACTTTGAAAAGCATTAATCATAATCCACATCTAAGTAAATGGTTCAACAGGAAATCAACAAATCTCTAAAGGGCAAGTTAAAAATTCGAACCCAATTCTTCTTTCAATTACTGATTCTCGAAGGCACACCTCGCCCCTTGAAAACAATTGACGAATTATGGCGGCGGCGACTTGAATTTAGGTATCAACAACCGGCGGCGACGCGGCGACGAGGCAGCGATTGGAGTCGCGAGTCGACTATCGGGTGTTCTCCAGCGATTGTAGGTCCGACTCTACACCCGACGACGAACAGTGAAGCAATCGATGTCGATCTCGAAAAAAAGGACGGCTCATGAGGGACGCGTTGTGGGCGACTATTGTCCAATCTCGGCGCACATGTACGACTATTGTCAAGTCTCAGATCACATAAACAAGGTTTACTCTCTTAATTCTGATCTGTTTCAGACCACAAAAAACAACCGAGGTTGATTTACTAATTTTTTCGTGGCTTTATTTTTTGCCAATTATAATAGTGTTGTTCGATTACTTTTGTATGTATTATAATCTTATAATTGCACATGTTTTGATAATATGACTACAAAATCTTGAGTGAATTTCTAGTTTTTTCTTGGTTTTAGGTGTTTATCTTTCTTACTGTATATATAAGTAAAACTGTGTATGAAATAAATATTTGAACGATCTTCTCTTTGTAATGAAATATAGTAGTTTATTTTGTGTATGAAATGAATATATGAATGAACTTCTCTTTGTGTATGGAAATTTGGGGATGAAGGGAACAAATACTTCAGGCACACAATCTCCAAGGACTTGGCCACATACATTTCAATCAACTCGTAATTGTTTGATAATACTAGTTGTCGTGCACAGTCGACTCAAATTTAGTCGATAATCATGTTAAAATTTGGTTAAATGTACCCTTACGATTTCCCACTTTTAGTAAAAATAAGATAGAGGACATGTACATAGAGTACTTGCAATTGTATATACCAGCAGTGAAAATCGAGAGAAACTAATCTTAGTCATTTGTACAATTTATTTTTTAATTATACACACTTCACAATAAGTTGGTATATCATATGGTTTGGGTTAATTTATCAAGTGATTCACTTATATTTTATGTCCAGGAGACTGGTTCGGCTCGTTTTTTTATCTCCTCCTCTGCCGCCAGTTTCTTCGAGGCTCGTCTTTGTGCATCGTCCTCCTGCTAGCGTCCCTAATGATCGTTTTCCTTGTATTAGTTGTATTTCAAAAGAGAGAATATACGTGCAAAAAAATCAAGGTAATGTAACATACTTTAAAACATAAAGGCAATAATTTAGAAAAGTGACACTTGAAAACTATAATCCTATTTAAACACAAAGATAACAAGAAAGCTTTAATAGGGTGCTCATCTTACTGTCAAAACAATGGGGCCGTATATATTTCGTTAGCAACAAAAATTTGGAAAATTGCACATATAATCCAACCTATAGCCTGATCTACAATTTTTCTATTTCCTCCCTTATTGTCTGCGCCTAAAACAATAACCAAGATTTTATCTCTCAGCTCAAAAATGGATTAAAAATAGATTTTAACTATCATTATATTTTCTTTGGTGTCAATAGTTTTTTCTTCTATATTTCAACAATACAATATTTAATAACAGAGCCTAAGCAATAATGTTTTTATAATCATGTAAATATGCTCGTGTTAGTTAAGATCAGAAGTACGACACACGCTTAGAGACACATTGACAAAGACAAGCACATACAAACTTAGATTAGCTTCTATCGGCAAATAGAAATAAAGCCCCTCACATTAAGTGCATCAGTCCCCTAATGCACATAAATAAATTCCCATCAAGGCCTCCTCTATTTTCCAACCGGCACAATGGCGTAATTCTCAATCTAATTACACTATAAACAAATGACATCATCTCTCTCTCTCTCTCTCTCTCAGATACATTTCACATAGATAGGGGAAAAAACAGAATGAAAGAAGAAGCAAAGAAAGTTTTTCAACAAAATCACAACAACAAAACATAAGAGAATATCATCCATCACCATATCATTTTCATGGGACGTCGACAATTAATTACTTGTTGAGAGACAACTGTTGGCCCCGGCGTGGCAAATGATATTAGTGCACGAGCCGCGGCTGTAACGCCCCGCCTTAACTTAATTATCAGAGTACGTTTTAAAGACATCTTTTAAAAATAGTTTAAGAAAATAATTCGGAGCGTTACTAAAAGATTTATTTTATCTTTAAAAATCCGTTACGATCGTTTAAAATTTACAAGCAAAACGGATTAACATAATATACAATCCGACTATGAAATCGGATCAAAAGTTAAAGTTTGTCAAACAGTGAAATTCAGCGGAACATAGCGTGGCAAAACAAGACAACAAAATATTTAACTTCGATCCACCCGTCAATTTCACAGCTCCGGACCGACTTCATGACCTGAAAAATTTGATAAAAATGGGGTGTGAGTACCACTGTACTCCGTAGGAACTCATACTAAAGTAAACAGCAATAACAATAGTAATATCATGATCAAAAGCATATAACATAACCGTGAGTTTCCTGGTCAACAGTATAAACCGGACCGGGATCCGTGAATCTACCGGCTGCCATGATAATAATGATAATGATGATAACAATGATTGCCGGAATCCATGTGCACATACTAGTGGTAGATGACGCCACTAGAACTTAGAACGGAATTATGGCAACCTGAACCGGCCAACATCCATTCCAAGCGGAAAACATAATTTGACATACCTTGAACATGATATCGTAATTATAATCAATGTAATACCCAGTCTGAGTCCCCACCTGTACTGAAGATATGAAACTGGAAGTGCTGATAGTCGTGAACTGATCAAACTGTAACATAATATAAACAATTACTAAGTACTATGCTCAGATCAATAAATTTAACTGTTAAGATGCTCGACTCGACTTAATATGATGTCCGGATGTAAAGGAACGCTCTAAAGGTTTCACAGAAATAATTCTAAGTCCGAAAATTATACTGATATGCTTAACTGATCTGATTCGGCTCGGAAAATAATTTAAATTTCAGAATAAGACTCGGACTGAAAATTATGAACCAAAACGGACTCGAACTGTCGGCTAAACCGGCCGGTTCACTAACTGGATGAACCGGGTCGGCTGGAACGGACCGATTGGATTACCAGTTCACACAAAACCGGGTGGTCACGGGCTGGCCGGGCTCGGTCCCGTGCAGGGCCTGTTGGGCCATGGCACGGCACTGGACACGGGCTAGGCATGACTGGCCTCGGCACTAGGCGCTGCTGGGCGCGGGTAGTGCTGCTGGCACTGGCCCTGTCACTGGCCGGGCGCGAGGGACGCGGGATAGGCGCGTACCCAGGCTAACTGGGCACTGGGCGTGCGGCTGGCACGACCCAGGTGCGACTGGCGCGAGAAATGACACGGCCAGACATGACTCGTGCGTCTCGGGTGCGACTATGGCTTGTCAGGGCGCTGCCGGGCGACCCTGGGCACGCGGGCGTGCTGTTGGGTACGTCCCGGGCCATCTAGATTGCTCGGGCGTGCAGCAGGGCACGTCCCGAGGCCTGTGAACCTTACCCGGGTTCACTGAGGCATGGTAGCAATTACTCGGGTGCGCTGATGGCACGACCCGAGGTCGACTGTGCGTGGCACGAGTGACTGTCTCGGGGTCGCGTATACATGACACTGGGACAGCACTGCCGGCATGGCCGCTATGTGCGGCAGCATGCCATGACCAGCCCTTGCCGGCCGTTCGGCCACTTTCCTTGATCAAAATGACATAACATGACATGATTAACACATTTATACTTACATGGGTCTGAGGGTCATGATAATAACATGAAATTCGATCTTATTTGACATGATGGGCCACGGCGTGCGCGATAGGCGCGACCGACGGCCCTAACGTGTACCCTCGACCAAACATGAACTTTTCTCGAGCAACATGAGTTGATTGGCCATAATTTATCATTTAAATGCTGTTGGAACACATATGTCCCTAACAAAGTTGATCACAATGAAAGATACCCTAGTAGGGCAAGGAATGGCCCGTGGGCGCGCGCTATGTGCGCGGTCCACTTCCCTTAGCCAAATCATCAACAAAATGAATACTTATCTCGTGCCATCTTTTAAAACTGAACATATCACATTAAATAAAGACTAATGATGCATGGTTTGCTCGAGAGACGTTGGCTATATACAGAGATGATTTGATATGGCCCTAAAATGCACACCCGAGAGCGTTTTCGATCATTACATGAACTTAGACCTATAATTTGAACTTGGCATGATATATATAACATCATAATAAGGTTAGTATCATATTACCCTTTGATTGCCCGAAGAAAGTTGACAAGATTTTGGTGATGGTTCGTCCCTTTTCTTCTCCCTTGCGCGCGTACGTAAGGCTAGGATTAATATATCTTAATCTTGCTTAGAGTGTACTTAGGAAATAGCTTAAGTTATAAGCTACAAATATGTCCAAACACATGATTTATAGACGGTGAAAAGAGGGAAAACGTGAGATAAAATCCTTAGCCAATGAGCTCGTGCCATTTGCCGCGTCCTAGGGCCACGAGGTGTACTTTCCTTTGCTTAGTCATCACATACTTGGCACAAAGAAGCCACTTGGCTGGGAAGGTTAATTATTCACGTGACTTTGCCCTATCTTTTGTCCACTTGAGCTCATTAAATACCTAAGCACGTTTAGGGCATAATTATGCGTGATTACCCTAGGTTAAGGCGATTAGAAGAAAATTAAGCACCCTAGACGTGCATTGATCAATGCTTAAAAACATAAGATGATCAAATTAGCTCTTAGGTTTAAATGAACATAATTGAGGTACTTAAGGAACCACTTAAGTACAATTATGCGTATGATCACGCACAATTAGCGCAAGATTAGCACATTTACCGCTTGATTAAGTACGATTTGATTTGATAATATTTTTATCGGGCGATTTTGAACATAAATTGACTTATATTTTAGATTCCGAGAATAATATGAATATTACGAAACTAAGAACGTAATTTACATTAGGTTAAAAATGGGCTATTACAGCGGCCACTCACTGCCCCATCGAAGCAAGTCTATACCCCCGGCAGAGGACAACCTGCTCCTGCTGTCTACTCCCTTTTTCTATGATGGGCTGCAGTTGTACGACCCCCATTACCTTCGTGAAATATGATGTAGGATAAATATTATAGAAATGTAATGAGAATACGTGATCTACCAATAAGAATAGACATTCCAAGTTATATCGATTAGGATTACTGATTTTATCACAATCTACTGTAGGAAATTAGGCAATTTGATATCTTCAATTTTAATTCATGACCGTAAAATGCATCCTAAGCTCACAACAAGCAATTTAGTTTTACATATACGACAATGCCAACTTCAAAATATGACTTATAATTTTGAATATGACTTGAGCAAGAAATACCTCCGCTCGGTGAGCTTGGTAGTAGTTCCTAGTGTCAACAAACTCTGCGGCAACCTTCTTTTAACCTTATCCCAGCCTGGTAACTACTGGGATTACGTTCATATACATCAAATAATATAGAGAGCGACAATATATTACTCACCCAAAAAATATTATATCGCAGTAGCTCTAAGATTGCCTACGTCGTCCCTGCCCAAAAAAAAGTCATGAATGAGATGTTCATTGTTTGCAAGCAACATATTGGTCATTAACACTGCACAATGCAGTGCGTCTGAGGAGATTGCATAAAAAGACAACTATAGTGAGATTTGTGTTAGGAAAAATATATTATATTATAACCACTATTCAGAGAATAAGTTTCAAATAGTTATGAGAAAAACAAACACAAGGAAAAAAGATGAGAATTGAAGAAATAGAACCAGTATATTGTTTCCAATTTGTAAATCATTTCATTGGGGCATATTTTTTCCAATTTGTCTTTGAGCTGCAAATATAAGAAAATATAGATGACAAAAAACTTTGTACTATAAAATATAATTCTTAGAATTTAAAGTATAATTTATGATATCAAATTAATTATGTCTATTACAAAATCCACCACATTTCTTCATATAGTTTTTATATACTCCAGCATGGAAACAATTACCTTGTAAAAGAGGTGAATGACATGATTCCAATCCTTCAAGTTTCCTCTGCAAAATTAAGAAAAAAATACATAACATATTGAAGTCAAATTTTATATTTCAGTTATATCTGCAAAAATGGGACAAATAACATGTAAATTGATCTTTAGCACTCCTTCAATCCATCTCGAATCTTGTTTAGAATATGAATTACCAACACTCCACTGTTCAAGTCTTCACCAACAATGAACAATAATAATATTAATGATAGCAAAAGTTTCCTGTAACGGGAGAATATTTGCTTAATTTCTTACGCACGAAGTATCGCACACTTCTGAAATAACCGACCAGTAACTTCACAAACAACCATTCTATATAATACCTCTTCATCAACTATAACTTCAAATTTTCTCTTCAATAGTCACTGTTAATTTAGTAAAAATTATATTGGTAATATGAGTGTTTGTTATATTGGTAATTTAGTGTTTATCAGTGACTGCAGATACCAGGGTGAAGGCGACATGTGGTATTTCCAGTCAAGCTAAGCTTAATTTTTAGGGATCGTGAAGAAAATCTTGGGTAAGTGCTTTTTGACCTTTGAATGAACCTCTGATTATGTGAATGATGCAGCCTTCTTTTGCCTTGACCATAAACCTATTGTCAAATATTGAACTAAAAATCGAGGGATATATTTACACATATAGATTTTGACATATACGACACCACATATTAATCAAGACCCTATTAAGAAGTATTAAAGGGTGCACTTTTGCTTACTCATTGTGTAGCATACCTGTGCTGGTTGCTGAGACATAGTTACTGGACCAGTCATGCCACTAACAGCTGTGCTATCCGTTGAAAATACATCAGCACGTTGATCAGCAATTAGCAGGAATAAGGTTCGGAAAGGTGATCCTGCTACCAAGTGTGTAAGTGCCATATGTTTGACAGTCTCAGCATAGAACTGTATAAGATTATATTCCAAAGTTAAACAAATAAATAAACAAACAAATAGGACGGCACATGATTCTATCTAATTCAGTTTTTCATTAAATAGGATGAGGCGAAGCATTTAGAAGTGACTAACTCGATCACCAAGTTGTGCAGCAAGAACAAGGGCAGGACCCCACAACTGACCTTCCTGTGCAAATTGTAAAGCCTCTTGCTTTCTTCCAGAAACCAGAAGTTTTTGAACCTCGGCCGCTGTGGCCTGAGACGTGAATTTATATTTCTTTAAGTGATGATGCTTCGCCTGATGATGCGAGTACATCATTGTACCCGCATTTGTGCTTCAGATGGCAGTTGCTGTAAGCATTGAGCAACAGTGACTAAACTGTGAATCACTTCTAGCAGGAGCAAACAGTCTGGCAACTGCTGATTCTGGAGACTCACTTTCCTGTAGGAATTAGAGAGAACCAAATTCAACAATGATGCATCGAGTCAGGAAACAACTATGGAATCATCTAACTTCCAGAAGATCATTACAGTTTGCAGAAATATTACTATCAAACCCTTCAATCACTGCAGAACAATTATGATAATTATAATAGGCAATGGTTGTAAACTTTAAAACTCCGGGCAAATTCACTATTTCTTTAGGTCATTAACTAAGTCGAAAGTTTATAATAATACAGTCCGCATCATCAAAGTAGGCAGTTCCAATATCAGAAAAAAGGAAAAACTACTTGTTTTGGTTTACACACAAAGGTGTTCATATTATATCTTCTGATAACTTGTTTTCAATATATAGTTACGTATAACAAGCAGCAGATGGGCAATTATTTCAGGTACAAGCTATTTTCAGTAGTCATAAGAGCAAAATAAAAACCTACTCAAATATTATACCCTCAGTTTGCTGACCTTTTTTTTTCTTTTTTTTTTTTAAAACCTGGAGGAGGTGAGGGGTTTGATGACCTCGGCGAGGGGTTTGATTAACTTTTTTTAGAACCTCAGATATTATACCCCGACAAAAGTAGGTAGTTGTATGCATATGTAGACAACAACAAATCTGAAATTTGTAACCAAAAAATGAAGGGAAAAATTTATTAAAAAGGGTGAAAGAGAGACAAATATACGCACTTGAGTATATCTAAAAGTAGAATTAGGCGCAGAGAAAAGAGGAAGAGGAGACGGAGTTCAAGGTATTACCGGAAAACATCGCGCTGTGCGTCAAATGCGGGGTCGCAAAATCACGCCTCCGCCGCCCCCAGGATCCTGTGCCAGAAATCCTTCAATTCAACAGTATTATAAGACTTCAATTTTCTCATCATATGTTGTTTTGAGATAAGGACGTTCTGAGCGAGGACACAGCGGGTTACTACGTCGTCGGGAACCCGTCCACCGCCATGACATTGTTAATCGGATAGCAGGGAACAACAACAATATGGCTGTTATGAGGAAATAAAGTCCATGAGAGGATATCCCTTTAAAATTGTTGATATCAAATCCAGTAATCAGAATTAAGATACTAAAAGTCGGAATATATTATAGCAAATTACCGACTTCTTAAGAGTTGCCGATTTCCGAAAGATCCAACTTCCGACAGACTTTCAAAAAAGGATCAAAACCGACATTCGAAACCGACGAAAGTAAACCGACTCCAAATCAACCGACTACCATAAAGTAATCATTGGAAGTATCTGATTGGACCAACAAAACAAAAAGGCTATCATTGATGTTTCCCGCCGCCTCAAACAAAGCAGCTCAATATTAAATGCATCTCTATCCGTTTCGAGGAAGAAGACAAAAGCCACCGTACTATAAATAGCAGGATTTATGATAGTACGAGGATCTTTTCAACCGGATGGTACACGAACTTAAGACAAACTCGGTTTTCAGCCTAAAACCGACTTCTGTACTCTGAATATAACCAATAAAATCTAATTAAGCCGTTATCTTAATTTTCTGGACATCAACTGTGTTTAATTTCAAGTTGTTAATTCAAGACAGCAACAGGCCCGACGCCGAGACCCCTCCCGGCATTGGGTTCTTGCAGGTCCGGTGGCCGTTCGAGTTGAAGGAGCCCGGGTGAAATCTTATTCACTTCATAGGGAATATTAAAAATTGAAATGTATTAATAAATAAAAAAGTGATAATTTGTAGAGAAATTGTCAAATTATAAAATTTTCCTCATAAAAAAAATATATTATTAAAAACCTTTCTCGTACATAACATTATTTGTTTAATAACTAAGCAACTCGTCGTCCCCACAAACTAATATTTTCAACCATTTTCTATTACTTTCACGTGAAACAAACAACATAAATGTCCGTGACTAAAAATCAATTTATTTAATGCCAACATACAATAAAGGCTGACCTTGACTCTTCTTTATCTATTAAAGGCTGACATTGACTCTTCTTTATCTATTACTTACATGCGTAACAACAACATATAATTGGTTGTGATCAAAACCGATTTTTTTAAGAACATATCAATGAACAACTCTTATCTATTACTTACGCGTAAAACAACAGTATATAATTGGTCGTGGCTACGAATCGATTTCTTTAATAATATGCCAACGCACATAAAGACTGACCCTGACTCTTAAATGGAACCCTAAGATTAGAAGTAACTGGTGCTCCTGCAACTTAAATGAAATCCTAAGACGGATCTATTTATATTATGATAATTTACTTAGGCAGTCAGACAAATGAGCTGTTAGTTTATCATTTTAATATCGATTACTTGATTGGTTAAATAATATTCACTAATATTTCTATATTTTTTTATACAAAAAAAAATGACCTTGACTATTAAATAGAACCTCAAAATCAGAAGAAACTGGTGTCGCTGGAACTTAAATAGAAGTCTAAGATGGATCTATTTATAATATGATAATTTATATGGTAGTTCGACAAATGAGTAGTTGGTTTATCATTTTAATATCGATTATACTTGATTAGCTAACTAATATTCACTAATATTTTTGTAGTTTTTTATCTTGTTTAAAAGAACATTAAACATGTATGTTTAAAATATTAAAACACAAAATTGTATAAAGAATTAACATCTAATGTTGCGATATTTTTTCTATAAAGAATTACTATAAATAGAGTGTATTTAATGATAATGGCGGGAAAAGATTGCTAAAAATGATGTAAGTCAATTCTTATTTTATTTATATATATAATTTTTGAAATTATAATGTGACATAAAAAATGTTTGCTTGGGTAGTTATAACACAAAATCGTGTGACATAAAAAATGTTTGCTTAATATTATTAAAGTAAAAAGTAAAAATACTAAATAATATGGTAAATATTCCAGAATGCGTTTGTTTAGACGTATGATGATTTCAAAAGATAAGTTTTTCATCATAAAAGACGCAAAAAAATCGAGATAACAAAAGCAAAAAAATCTCTACATGATTTGGACAATAATAAACCAAATGATATAGCAGTGATGAAAATCTTTACCATTCTCATCGATTTTTTTTATTTAAAACGTGTAGAGATCTTGTAGAACCGTTCTCTAATGTTGTATTTATCTTGTGGAATTGTACGTTTGTATTTATCTTGTAGAATCTTTCTCTAATTTTGCGTTAAATATGCTTAGGATTAAAACGTGTTGAGTATTTTACAATATTAAACAACACGCAATAATGGTATCTACATATTTGGGTTAATATTGATCTAAATTAAATGAATAATGTAAACTAAACGGATTTATATAATGGTGTATCATATCGACAGAGTTTGGAACCACGATTTTCGTGTATTTATCTTTTTAAATCATCATCAAAATTTTCAGCAAATTTGGTTCTACTCAGTGTGTGTTGAATTTTATATTTAACAATATAAAAGAAAACAAAATTAGGGCATCTATATATATGGGTATCTTTACCTTTAAATTAAAGGCGAATTCAAACTATTTGTGATGCCTTACATGGTAGATTTAATTTTTTGAATTTATAATAAGCAAATGTTTATTATTATTATTATTATTATTATTATTATTATTATTATTATTATTATTATTATTATTATTATTATTATATCAATGTTATCATAGTAATAGTAATTAAAAATTTATATTAACATGAATGTTAATATTACACGGGTACTTAAATAATTGTTACGAAAAACTGAATAATATATGTCATTTTTGTACGGGTATATCGCAAAAATATATCAGTAAATGATATTTATACTGATATAAATATATCAGTATGGTTACGAAAAAATGTTAATACCCATGTACGGGTATATCGAAAAAATATTTATAAATGTACGGGTTCATTTTCAGTATGACATACTGAAAATGTTACTTCATTTAAGTGAAATATTTAATATATCAGTAACAATTTTTCGTAACTTAAATGAAAATGCCAACTTATCAGTAATTATTTTTATGGGTATTTAATACACGTATTTAGTACCCGTACATGGGTACTAACTTTTAAGTACCCTTACTTAAAAGTCGATATTCACGGGCGTTATTAATTGTCGAATAATTAATTAATCTATTTAATAATAACAAAAATAAATATATATTAAATAAAATAAAGAATACTTCACAAAACTATATTTATAGTTTTTTTAATTCACAATAAGATTTTTATCTTTTTTTCACTTTTTGTTGGACAATCAATTTTTTATAAAAACACCAATTTAATACCTCTTATTCTCTCGTTTCCTAATTAATGAAAAGACAAAATGCCTTAAGTTGAATTCAATTGTCAAAAAAATGTTATTGAAGTAATGTACCGTACATGGGTAATACATGTATTTCATTACTAAATACATGAGTAAGAAATGAAATTAAAATACCCATGTACAGGTACTTAATTCATGAAAAGTTGACATTTTCATTTATTACGGGTACTTAATACATGTATTAAGTATTTAGTACTCATGCCAACTTATCAGTAATTTTTTATGGGTATTTAATACATGGGTATTTAAGTTGAATATCAATCTACACGAGATATTTTTTCGTAACTATCTACACGAGATAGTTTATTCATTTAAGTTGAATATTCCCCCGTGTATATGCAAAAATATATCAGTAATGTAATTATATAGATGTTAAAGATAAGTTGGAATATATCCAAAAAAACTCTCCAAATTTGTTACCTAAAAAATTGGGATTCCTATGATTTCGATTTCACAGTTGAGAAAATCCGGTGGTTTCCTGAATAATTGGAAAGAAAATCCGGCCAAATTGTTTATATTGGAATGATTCCAGTATTCTGTTTTTTCTCTGATTCTGTTTTGGAATGATTTAAAATAAAAAGAAAATAAAAAAGTAAATAATGGATTTTTTTATTAGGTTTCCACAAACGGGAAGTCAATGGTGTTGACCAGCTTTTTAAAAGTTTCCACAAATGATTTATTGACCTCTCTTTTTCAATATATATAGATATGACAAAAATAAAATTTTTAAAAAAAGTTCAC